GGAGTATTGTACGCAGTACTGGAGACCGTATCTTCATAAGGATATTGATACTTTAGAGAGGGTTCAGAGAAGGGCTACTAAACTGGTTCATGGATTGCGGGATAAAACTTACCAGGAAAGGTTAAAGGATCTTAACATGTATAGCTTGGAGGAAAGATGAGACAGGGGATATGATAGAAACATTTAAATATATAAAGGGAATCAACACAGTAAAGGAGGAGACTATATTTAAAAGAAGAAAAACTACCACAACAAGAGGACATAGTCTTAAATTAGAGGGACAAAGGTTTAAAAATAATATCAGGAAGTATTACTTTACTGAGAGGGTAGTGGATGCATGGAATAGCCTTCCAGCTGAAGTGGTAGAGGTTAACACAGTAAAGGAGTTTAAGCATGCATGGGATAGGCATAAGGCTATCCTAACTATAAGATAAGGCTAGGGACTAATGAAAGTATTTTAAAAATTGGGCAGACTAGATGGGCTGAATGGTTCTTATCTGCTGTCACATTCTATGTTTCTATGTTTCTAAATGCTTGTAATATGTAAATGAATGCCCTGCAGATTAGGTTTGAGCAGGGTTAAATCCCTGCTCACACCAGTAAACCCAGAAAATAGATACCTGGGGCTCCTCTTAGTTGGGTCATTTTTATTGGCCCCAGACTGACCGACGAGCTCTAAGTAGCACTGGTATTCAGCCCTGCTTGGAACCATTTAAATCCATTCATAAAAACGCAGTCGAGTGATTGCTCCCAGCCAGTTTTTCTAGCTGCGGTCAAGTTCAGACTCTATAATGCGCAAATAGTAAGGCAAGTATATCCCTACACACCGTAAACACATATTACTGGGCCTTAGGGGGGTCAGATTTAATGTATATAAATATGAGGTATAGCTAGCATGTCAAACTTGCGGCCTGCAGGCAGCATGCAGCTCACAGTGAATATATTTGCGGCCCGTCTGCCCTGGGGCCTCTTTGTGCTGTGGCTGCGACCAACCACAAGACAAGAAGAGTGTGAGTCTTGTCTTCTCTCCCACGACCACAAGAGGGCAGAGTGGCTGTCTGTCTGCAAAACAGGCCAGCCACTTCCTCTTCCCTCCTGCTCGCAGTGCCAGAGGAGCATCTGGTCTGCTTGAACAGAGAAGAGCAGAGCTGGAACTGGAGGACGGGAGGCTCATCTTAAGGGGAGGGGAAGAGTGGGGGGGGATTAGAGTGTATTAGAGTGGCGGGAGCTTGTGCAGTGTGTTAAATTGGGGGGAGGGCAGTGTATTAATATGAGGGAGGGAGCGGGCAGGGTGTTAAATTGGAGGATGGAGGGGGCCTGTGTGTTAAATTGGGGGAGTTAGTGGCAGTGTGTTAAATTGGGGAGTTAGTGTGGCAGTGTGTTAAATTGGGAGGGAAGGAGGCAGTGTATTAGAGTGGTAATAGGGGGGCAGTGTATTTGAGTAATGGGGGGGGCAGTGTGTTAAATTGGTGGGGGCAGTGTATTAAATTAGAGTGGTGGCAGTGTATTATATTGGGAGGAGGGTGCAGTGTATTTGAGTTGAGGGAGGGGGGGCAGTATATTGGATTTGTGGGCAGTATATTAGAATGAGGGGAGGGGGAAGTGTATTCGATTAAAGTGGAGGGAGGGGGGCAGTGCATTAGATTAAGGGGCAGTGTATTCGATTAAAGTGGAGGGAGGGGAGCAGTGTATTCGATTAAAGTGGAGGGAGGAGGGGCAGTGCATTAGATTAAGGGGCAGTGTATTCGATTAAAGTGGAGGGAGGGGAGCAGTGCATTAGATTAAGGGGCAGTGTATTCGATTAAAGTGGAGGGAGGAGGGGCAGTGCATTAGATTAAGGGGCAGTGTATTTGATTAAAGTGGAGGGAGGAGGGGCAGTGCATTAGATTAAGGGGCAGTGTATTCGATTAATGTGGAGGGAGGAGGGGCAGTGCATTAGATTAAGGGGAAGTGTATTCGATTAAAGTGGAGGGAGGAAGGGCAGTGTATTCGATTAAAGTGGAGGGAGGAGGGGCAGTGCATTAGATTAAGGGGCAGTGTATTCGATTAAAGTGGAGGGAGGAGGGGCAGTGCATTAGATTAAGGGGCAGTGTATTCGATTAAAGTGGAGGGAGGAGGGGCAGTGAATTAGATTAGGTGGATGGTGCAGTGTACTGGATTTGTGGGCAGTGTATTAGATTGGGTCTGCATGGAGGCGCTGAACGCTCCCCCTGGAGATGCTGACTGGCCGCACAGCTTTTTGCCACACATGCACAATAGTCTCCAAAGGCTTTCCTATGGGAAAATAAAAGTGTGAGGACATCTAGTGCCAGTTAGGCACTTTTTTATAGTAAAAACCAAAGAAAAAAAAAAAGAAAAAATCCCTTAATCCCTATGTATATTTAAACAAATGGAGGTCATTTAGTTACTCCAATGGCCATGAGAGGATAAGCCCACCTGCCAACATCAAGGCAGACCTCCCCAGGTGGGTCCTAACTCTAACCATTCACCATGCTTCCTTGAGCTTCTGGCAAAGATATCTCTAATGAGACAGAAACTGAAAGGGGTATTTTTTATATTCCCTCCAATGGCTATTGGAGTAACTAAATGACATCCATTTGTTTAAATATACATAGGGATTAAGGAGAGAGCGCAGCTAATGTCTTTCCTTTGGTTTTTACTATATATTGGGGCTGATGTGTACTGTGGTCATTGCTGCCACACAGGAGTGATGGGAGTGAGCGCAGGACTTTTCTTTTTGTATTTGGAGGCACTTTTTTTATACTGTACTTTTCCAAAATAAACCTATGTTTCTATGAAAACTGAAGTGTTTTTTTTTTTGCGGCCCACGTGAACTTAAACCTTGTTTATTTTGGCCCATGTTAGCATTAGAGGTTGACATGCTTAAAGTATGTGACAGAGAATAGTCAGATACAGGCCTAGGCTTGGGATGGAGATAGATATAAGAGTATTACAAAGACAAGGTTCGGGGATACCATAATACAGAATAAACAATTAAACAAAGCCAAGTCAGTTACCAGAAATACCAAGAATATAGAAACACACTCTCAGGTTATAAAGACCATGACAGGGCAAGAAAGTAATGTCAGAGAAAGGTTTAAATAATAGGGTAGACATATGGTTAGTTAGTGTAAGCATTGGGTAAGGTGTATGGTTGGTATAGTGTGGGGGTTGATGTAGGGTAGCGTTAACTACCAAAACTTAATTTAGATTCTAGACATAGAAGACATTTAACAATCAGGACTGGTATATTAATCTATTTAGAGCACTTTTAAATCAGTTGCTCTGGATGTGTAAAAACTATTATATGCAAAAATGTGAAAAAAATGTGTTTTGTTTTTCAATTTTTAATATTTTTATTAGCACGTAATCATGTGTTAGGTATACAAATAGGATATTTAAAGAAAAGGCCCTGCCTGTCCTTTATAAAACAATATTTAAAGGGACACTATAGTCACCTGAACATCTTTAGCTTAATGAAGCAGTTTGGGTGTATAGAACATGCCCCTGCAGCCTCACTGCTCAATCCTCTGTCATTTAGGAGTTAAATCCCTTTGTTTATGAACCCTAGTCACACCTCCCTGCATGTGACTTGTACAGCCTTCCATAAACACTTCCTGTAAAGAGAGCCCTATTTAGGCTTTCTTTATTGCAAGTTCTGTTTAATTAAGATTTTCTTATCCCCTGCTATGTTAATAGCTTGCTAGACCCTGCAAGAGCCTCCTGTATGTGATTAAAGTTCTATTTAGAGATTGAGATACAATTATTTAAGGTAAATTACATCTGTTTGAAAGTGAAACCATTTTTTTTTTTCATGCAGGCTCTATCAATCATAGCCAGGGGAGGTGTGGCTAGGGCTGCATAAACAGAAACAAAGTGATTTAACCCCTAAATGACAGTGAATTGAGCAGTGAAATTGCAGGGGAATGATCTATACACTAAAACTGCTTTATTTAGCTAAAGTAATTTAGGTGACTATAGTGTTCCTTTAATATGTATGGGGACACATGGGGAGAAACTCTTAAACAATGGCGGAACAAACTTATAGTTCAAATTTAAGGTTTTTTTTGTTTCAGGACTTGGACATTTGCCTCCTTCCTTTAGGGGTTATAATATCTTTTTTATTTGTAGTTCACTTTGTGGCCACACCTCCAGCAACCCTACCTAAAATGATTGTGTCACTCATTGACTATTTAAAATGTTAATTAGAATCTCATAGAAATTAAAGCTTTTAAATAAATTCATTGTTTCTATAAACTAGACAAATGGCCTCAGATACCCACCGCTTATTGTTTACTTCGTTTCCCTTGTCTCGTGAGTGCAATATCATGGTATATTTGGCTATTTCCAAAGGATACTGTACCACACCATATTTTTCTAATATAACCCTGGGGAAATAATTGAAAACATGTAAAATGTAACTTTCTTTGCACAAATAATTTCATCATCTATACAATTAGTATCTAAGCAACGTGTTAACTAATATAGGTTTTATTCCCACCATCTATACTGAAGACATTAGAGGATATTACTGTACCCTGGAAATATTACTGGAGTCCAGATAAACATGATATATTTCTGTGTGAAAGGATATCTTGTTGTCAATATTATTTTTATAACGTGCCAACAAATTCCGTAGCGCTGTACAATGGGTGGACTAAAGTAAGGGTAGGGGTAGAAAAATAGGTTGCTAGTAAAGTATTTACTGAGGGCTTAGTGTTTTTTTTTTTGACAGTTGCAGGATAAGAGATCCCTTATTATAGAAATCTCAGCAAAGTGAGTTGCAAAGTGAAATTACTGCTGAATGGCAACTCAATTGAAATTCCTTCTTAAAAAAAACCCCCACTAGGATTGTGCAAAATCTAGATGCCTAGATGCAATGATAAAGAGACAGGAGTCCTGAGTAGTGATGTCCCGAATGGTTCGCCGAACGGTTCGCCACGAACGGTTCACAGCGGACTCATCATTGAGTAAACTTTGACCCTGTACCTCACAGTCAGCAGACACATTCCAGCCAATCGGCAGCAGACCCTCCCTCCCACACCCTCCCACCTCCTGGACAGCATCAATTTTACATTCATTGTGAAGCTGCATTCTTAGTGAGCTGTCCAGGAGGTGGGAGGGTCTGGGAGGGAGGGTCTGCTGCTGATTGGCTGGAATGTGTCTGCTGACTGTGAGGTACAGGGTCAAAGTTTACTCAATGATGAGTCCGCGGCGAACCGTTCGTGGCGAACCGTTCACGAACCGTTCGGCGAACCGTTCAGGACATCACTGGTCCTGAGACATTTGTTTAGTTTAATGCTCTTCAATAAATGTGAGTTTCACTATCTATTAAGCTGCACATAGTATTTTCTAAGTTGTTCACTTGTTACTTCTGCTGGTGGAACCATAGCAGTCTATATGCATATGCTGAGCTAGGTGAATTATATTTGTTCATTATTTGGCTCTACAGTGTCCACACACTAGATGCTCTCAAGTAATCTTCAAAAAAATAGCTACCGGTGAGGACTTAAGGACTGAGGCAGTTGTACAAGTACCCCCATGATGGCATACCATTTGTAAAAGTAGACAACCCAAGGTATGACAGATGGGGTATGTCCAGTCTTTTTTAGTAGCCGCTTAGTCACAAACACTGGCCAAAGTTAGAGTTCATATTTGTTTGTGTGGGAAAAATAAAAAAAACGAATTTTGACGCTAATTTGGCAAGTGTTTGTGACTAAGTGGCTACTAAAAAATACTGGATATACCCCATTTGCAATATCTTGGGTTCTCTACTTTTGCAAATGGCATCCTGGGGGTAATTTTCATTCCTGGGCTACCATACGGTCTCAAATGCAACATAACCAATCTGGCAAATTTCAATGTGAGAAAACAGAAATGCAAGTCTTATATTAAAACCTGTACATAGGGGATACTGTTATACTCGGGAGACCATAGAAACTGGTGGTTACTGCCATAAATTCCCCTATGGACGAGCCTCCACTGCCAGGAATACTCATTCCCCCATATCTGGCACACGGTAAGGAAGAGAAAGGGAATTGTAACTTTATTTTGATTAATAGTTGTTTTTTTAGTAACTACCTTATACAAACATTTCACCTCCTATCACCCCCACACTCATTGCAGCCTCTCTCAACCCCACTCTTGCAACTGTCCCTTTCACACCCCAAATTAACTATAGCCCCTATCATCACCCTTCCATACTACAGCTCCTAACACTCAACTCTCACTCCAGCCACTAAAGCCAATATTGTTTTTATACACATGAACACTCCAGCCCCTGTCTTTTACACACACTATTCTATAAAGAGCCCTCTCCAGACACATACCGCATTGTAAACTGCCTCAACTCCACAATCAGCCTAAGTCTATGCAAACAACCCCACATGCAGCTTCTCCACAGACATGCAACCCCATTAAAAACATCCTTAGGCATGCAATACCTATAGCAACCTCCATAAAACACACAACATTGGTAGCAGCCTCCGTCTACACACACAGGGCCGGCGCATGCATAAGGCACCACAAGCCTACACCTTAGGGTGCCAGAGCAGGGGGTGCAAAAATCAGAATCACCTGCCTCTGGCTGGAGACTAGAATCTTTTTTTAAATCACTGCAGCCTACCTCCATCTCCCTGATTCACTGAATCAGCCAGCAGATTGGCAATGAAGTTGGTTGGCCTTTTCTTTTTTTTTTTTAACTTTTTTTTTGTGCGGAAAATCTTGTCTTAAATATTACAAACAGTATGTGTCAGACATGTGATACTTGACGTACATGTTAACATTGCTTCTGTTACATCACCATTGTTCGTTCATTTTTAAATTAACAAGTCTGTTACTAGTTACAACTAAGATCCTTCACATTTTTTGTTTTGTATAACTTGGAGAAAAAACAGTGGTAAGCAATTCGAAAAACCTTCTAAGGTGAGTAGTTTTTGGTGCCTGTTGTATCGCTTGGTATTTGGGTTGGGACTTAGTGACTTGGCCCTTTTTCGTGTAGCCCTGTAGGTTTCAGAGGGCCGCAGTGTAAGTTAGGGTGTAGGAGTCTGCACCTGTGTCCCCTCCCGTGTGGAAGGTAGAAAATAAAGAAAATCTATAAGTGAGAGAAATAGTCAAGTAAGGGGGGGGGGAGAAAGAGAAAGGGGGGGTGTACGCCGGTGCGGTGTACTGTGCGGCGGGGCCGGAATTCCTCCCTGTGTGCACGGTCTTTATGGGGGGCCTCCTGTCGATTCTCTACTTCTATGAGGGATGGGTTATGCTGTGTCAGACATACTCACTACTTGTCCAGGGTTCCCACATTTTTTCAAATTTAAGAGTGGATCCTCTCACCCTAGCTGTTAGGTTGTCCATTAGGTATACCTCTTTTATGTTGGAGATGACCCTCTTAATGGGTGGCATAGCTACCTTTAGCCAAGACTGAGCTAGGGCTCTCCTAGCTGCTAATGTGATTTTATGGATCAATTTCTGTTCTCTTTTTGTCCAGTCATCTAGGTGTCTGTTTAGTAAGTATGTCCATGGGTTAAGTTCTGGAGCTCTCTGAAAAAGCTTCTTGACTATATTAAATACTTTCTTCCAATAGATTTGTACCCGTGGGCATTCCCACCACATATGGAGGTATGTGCCCCTGCAGCCGCATCCTCTCCAACAGTCATCAGATGGTGTTTGTTTCATGTGATACGGTTTGACCGGGGTGGTGTACCATCTGAACATTGTTTTGAGGCATTGTTCCTGGAGAGATACGCATATAGATACCGAATTATTTGCCTCCCATATGCCCCTCCATTCCACCCCTTCCAGTACCTCTCCCAATTCCCTTTCCCATGTGTCTGTGTATGTCAGTGCACCCCACTCCTCTGTTTCGGAACAGATGTGTGCGTACATCATGGTTATTAATCCCTGTGGTGTTTTTTCCTTAAGGCACATTTTCTCAAAAAAGGTCAAAGGTCCCTTCCCCGCCTTTTGTATTTGGGGGTGTTGTGTGAAGTCTTTCAGTAGTAGATACTGAAAGAAATCTGCGGGTGTGAGATGTGCTTTCTGTTTGAGGTGTTCAAATGACACATCATTGTCCTTAAACATGTGGCAGATTCTTTGCAATCCCACTTTTTCTATGTTTGCGAACTCTCTAGGTGCCATACCCGAGGGGAGGGCTCTATTTCTCAGTAGGGGTGTTAATGGGGGTGGTGAGGTTGCCAGTTTGTATTTGTGTGCCGAAGTATCCCATATTCTTAGGGAGTTTAATATTGCCGGGCAGTTTGTTCTCAAAATTGGCCTATCTTCTTTGGGTACCCACATGTGGAATTGGGGTAGGTCTGGTCCGGTTAGGAGGGACTCTAAGTCTACCCATCTCCTTATTTCCAGTGGAGCGTGCCACATGGCCACCTGGGCAAGTTGTGCTGCTAAATAATAAAAATATAAATGTGGTAGTCCCAGCCCCCCTCTCTGTTTCTGGCTGTATAGGATGTTTTGAGATATTCTATGGCGTCGGTTTTGCCATACGAAATCTCCAATAGCTTTTTGTAGTGGGGCTAGATCTGATTTTAGGAGTTTAATGGGTAGTGCCTGGAAGAGGAACAATCTATGGGGCAATACATTAATTTTTACCGCATGAATATGTCCGATCCAAGAAATGGGTTTATCTAGCCATTTTCCCTATCCTGCATCAGTGTTTGTATGAGTGGTGCGTAATTCAGTTGGTATATTTTGGTCGGATCGCTCGGTAATTGGATCACTAGATATTTTATGTGGCCCTTTGCAATGGGGATGCTATGATTTGTTCGTTGCCGCCGTGTCCGCCGCAGACAGGCCCATCGGCAGAGGGTTGGCCTTTTCTGATGATGTCAGGAGGAGAACACTAGGGATAAGGTTTCCCCCTCACTGGCCCAAGGTAAGACTCAGGTTATTTATTTATTTATTTTTAATTTAAAAAGTTTTTTTTGTTTAATTTTAATAATCTACTGTGTACCCCTCTACTGCCCCTGGTCCCCATCAAATCCCCCCACCCCACTAAAACCCCTGCTCCCCCTGTTCTACAGACCCTGGCCCCCTTCTATCCTCCCTGTCCCCTGTCCCTCCGTTACAGCACCTAACCCCTACTACAATCTCTAACTCCTCATTACAGCCCTATTACCCCACTACAACCCATTACCAGTGCCCCTCCCAAGATTAGGTTCAGGATCCGCCCCTGCTCTGTATGCCTGTGTCTGTATATCTCTGTAGGACTATATGACTGTGTATGTATGTCTTTGTATGCCTTGTTCTGTATGTCTTTGTGTGACTGTGTCCGTATGTGTCTGTATGCCTAGTTCTGTATGTCTCTGTATGACTATATACCTGTGTATGTTTGCCTCTATTTGCCTGTATGTCTCTGTATGCCTTGTTCTGTATGTCACTGTATGCCTGCATCTTTATGACTCTGTGTGACTGTATGACTGTTTGTATGACAGTGTACCTGCATGTGTAGATTGTATGACTGTGTGCCTGTATGTTTGTGCCTGTTTGTTTGATTGTGTGCCTGCATATCTCTGTGAGTGTGTTCCTGAATAATTATGTCTGTGTACCTGGATGGTTGTGTGTGCTATATATCTATGTCTATATGGCTTGGGAAAACAAACAAAGGGACCTGGGGGAGGGGACAAAACAGGCTGAGCAGAAATAGCCACAAAAAGGGGCTGGGGGAAGAAAGATACACAAGGGGGTTTGTAAGAGACACACAACGGGGAGTAAGACACACTAAATTTAAAAGGGGAATTATGAGACACACAAATGAAGATGCATTTTTTGGGGGAGGCAGGGAGGGCAAAATGCGTCTTCTCCTGTGTAGCCAAAAATCTTTGCACCGGCTCTGTACGCACACAACCCTACAAGCAGCCTCTAAACACATACAAAACCACAGAAGGCATACACACGCAAACACCCTCATGCAAACCCTATCCCTTTTTTGTCCTCTGGTATTCCACTGAAGGAAATACCAAAAACAAGTTACCAACAAATGCAGAACAAATGTGTATTTAAATTCTCTGTGGTTAACGAGCACAGGACATTTCCCCAATGCCAGGGCTCTTCAGTAGAACCGTGGAGGGTACTGATCCCCTATGACGATTTTGACTGTGATACAATGTACAGGACAACACCGCTTTTACCAGTTTCATTCTTACCTTTTTCGCAGATC